TATGGGTTTTCAGACACTTTAATGCTCAAAATATGGATTTATTCAAGTGATTGTGTAAAATATGGATTTATAGGAAAAAAGGCGAAAATATGGAAATAAATATTTTTTCATTTAAAAACATAACTCTGTTAGCCCTGCTTATGACACATATGAAAGTACTTAGATTTTAGTTTTAATTAAATAAAAACTTTAAATCAATGTTAAAAATGAAAAATTGTTATATTTATAATTTAATACATTGTAACTAAATGAATTATGTACAATCCGTAAATACTTTTCTCTTTAAAATAAATAAAAATTCAAAACGAAACTGAGGCATCGTCATGACAAAATACCCTGCAGTTCTGGATGTCCACTGTGGACTTTTGGCAATTAAGCAATCATGTTTGTAGGAAGGGAAAAGGAATATTCCTAAGTGTTCCTTTCTTTCTCACTCTTATAACACGAATCGTTGCTTGCAAACGACGGCGGCCCGACACCAAATTTGTCTTCTATTCTTTCGTTCGGAGAAAAATGAAATTGACCTGCGTCATTCTTTTAAGTAGTGCGTCTACGAATGGTTGTGAAATTATTTCACTTGTGCAACGGGCAGCGGAAATGTTTAAAAATCATGTAAGAGTCGTTAATATTACAAAAACATTATGGTTTTTATTACAAACTTATTTAAATCTTTTTAGGATTCAGCCATACATAAGTTCGCTAAATTCGTTTGAAAGGTAAGTTTGCTTTAAATTAAAAAAAAGTAACATATAATATGTAATAATAAAAATATTTTTGTACCATAGATGGACGCAAAACAGCCGATGTCCTGCAAATACTCCACAGAAATGGGGAACAAAATCTTTCGAATTTCATATTATTTATGTACTTATTTCTTATATTACAAAATAAGATATAAGATATATAATAATATATACACTGCCGCTCAACTGAATAGGTTCATGATCTCAGAGGAAGTAATTTGTCTATAATTCCTAAACCAGTGTACCGATTTCCATAATTTTTTTTTTTCTTTAACTCTTGAATCATTTTATAATAAAATGCTGAAGAAGGTTTTTCAAAAACATATTATTTATTCCTTATTTAATTTATTCTTCTGAAAGGTTAACGAAATTCATGATTTTTTTTGGGTCATCTGAATAGGTTCAACCTAAAACAATTAAAATTATTTAAGTAACTAAGGATAATTTTCATATTTTTTGAACTTGGCTGATACTTATGAACATTTTTAGAGTACATTTTACTAATTTTAATAAAAAGTGAACCCTCCGTTGTCCGATATAACATCATATACACGACCGGGAAGCGAGCTTTACAAATTGTGCAGTATTTGCAGTGAAATGGTTGTCCAGGCTATTTTAATTGCCTTAACTAAAGTTGTTTTGCAAGAAAATTACCTGCCTCCTTCATATATCTTGCGCGATAGCAACCCCATACGATTTCGATTATATTAAGGTCAGGTATATTCACCTGACCATTCAAGTAAGTCCACATTTTGAGCCTTAATCCACTCTTTTACCACCCTAGCTGTATGATGGGAGCGTTATCGTACTGGTAAGACCATTTGATAAAGTGAAAAGTACTTAAATAATCAGGAAACGCAGCCTTTATGATAGATTTGTAGGTTTCCGCGCTCGTTTTGCAAGTAACAAATTAAAGGTCACAAGTGCCAAAGACTGATACCGACCCCCACACCGAAATCAATTTAATTTAGAAGCGTAAATCAATAGCTACAACTATTATTATCACGATCTTCAAAAGGAACAGCATTTCCTTAGCCGTCGACATAGATGTGAGGGTGGGGTAATGGTGTGGGGGTCGGTATCAGTCTTTGGCACTTGTGACCTTTAATTTGTTACTTGCAAAACGAGCGCGGAAACCTACAAATCTATCATAAAGGCTGCGTTTCCTGATTATTTAAGTACTTTTCACTTTATCAAATGGTCTTACCAGTACGATAACGCTCCCATCATACAGCTAGGGTGGTAAAAGAGTGGATTAAGGCTCAAAATGTGGACTTACTTGAATGGTCAGGTGAATATACCTGACCTTAATATAATCGAAATCGTATGGGGGTTGCTATCGCGCAAGATATATGAAGGAGGCAGGTAATTTTCTTGCAAAACAACTTTAGTTAAGGCAATTAAAATAGCCTGGACAACCATTTCACTGCAAATACTGCACAATTTGTAAAGCTCGCTTCCCGGTCGTGTATATGATGTTATATCGGACAACGGAGGGTTCACTTTTTATTAAAATTAGTAAAATGTACTCTAAAAATGTTCATAAGTATCAGCCAAGTTCAAAAAATATGAAAATTATCCTTAGTTACTTAAATAATTTTAATTGTTTTAGGTTGAACCTATTCAGATGACCCAAAAAAAAATCATGAATTTCGTTAACCTTTCAGAAGAATAAATTAAATAAGGAATAAATAATATGTTTTTGAAAAACCTTCTTCAGCATTTTATTATAAAATGATTCAAGAGTTAAAGAAAAAAAAAATTATGGAAATCGGTACACTGGTTTAGGAATTATAGACAAATTACTTCCTCTGAGATCATGAACCTATTCAGTTGAGCGGCAGTGTAAGATACAAAATAAAAAAGAAATAAATATATATATATTTTGTTTTTAATATGAATTTGGGGATGACATTTTTAGGCTTGACATAGATGATTTCGCTAGGGACATCCTCGCCAAAGCCATCGATGAAAACTTCGCCTCCACGTCAGCTACGAAAGCAACGATGGCTTATACGAATTTTCTCCATACAAAATTCGTATAAGCCACCGACGACTCGTTCGATGAAACGGACAAAAAGTTCATCGAGAGCGACATGTATCCCGAAAACGGCGGTGCCATATAAAATGTCTCTATGAACTCGCGTCGCTGCGGCTACGGTTGCTACCCCCGCTGTCGTCGGTGCGGCTTCGCACACTTCATCGACGACAAATCAATTTTGGAACTGCAGGGTTGGGACTTAAAATGTAGATTCTTGTTATTCGCACACATTGCAAATTTGTTACATTTTTGCGCTACGCCCGTGGCAAAGCATTTTTGTTCAATGATTTGAATTCTGGTTATAAATACGCATCATCCACCGAATTCACGTTTAAAGTTTAAAGTTTAAAGTTTAAATTAACTTAGTGTGAAAAGACGGATTATTAAATTAAGTTCAACTTTCATTTTAATGTTGTACTAGTTTCATTGTTATTTAATTAAAACACGGTTGATTTAGGCTGAGTTGTATTATTGATATTGTTTTGCCTTTGGTTAATATTTATTCTAGACGGGAAATTGTGCAGTAATTGATACAAACCTTAATAAAAAATATGTTTTCATATACAAATAAATATGTAGTCGTACTAGTTTTAAAGTAATATTGACAATTTTTATTAAAAAAAAAAATAGAGAATCTTTCTCTAATATATAGGCCTGCGAGTCCACTTTTGGGCAAAGTTGTTTATTTCCTACCTTTTATAAGAGCTCAAAGATGTTTTTTTAAAAAAGATAATATAAAGAAAAATATTTTGGGTTCTGGGCACACTACCAGGGTCGAGATTTTTGGGTTTTTGTTTAAAAAAAAGAAATAGTAGTTTTATAAAAACCCTTACTTACAAAAATTATTAAATGATTACACTGTCAAGAGCTACATGCTCTTGCAAGCAAAAACGTACAAGTGTAAATCGCAAAATCCAAACTAATCTTAAAGAAAAAACTCTCCATCGTGCATAGATCTCAAACTAAGTAATTTTAATATCAGGTTTTATAATCTACTTTTAAGATAAATTTTACTGAAAATAATATTTTATAAGTTAGTAAAATATGAATCTTTGAGTAATATCAAAGGCCATCATTTTAATTTAAGTATATGCAACCATCAAAAACTGTATGAAAATAGAACTTTTAGATTTTTGTCGTACTTTATTTGTTGACTGGAATTAAATTACAGTCCTTTTACTCCAAACGAAACTCGTATGTATATCAGAGTATGTCCTATTTACTCCAAGGGAAGTGGCAAAAACTTAGTTCAATTCTTACAAGATCTCTTGGCCAAAATTATAAAGAGGATTAATTTCTGCTTTTAAACACTTTTATTAATGCAAATATATTAATTTTTACTGTCACGCTGTACACGAATATTGTGTAAGGTTTTAAAGTCCAAAAAAAGGGATATACTTGTTTTTTTTTTTGCGGAGAAATGAATTCTCTTATTATATTGAGCTTAATTACATGTTATTGTTCAACTTTAATATTTAGAAATAGGTCTGTGGCTGTTAATCTTCCGAAGCGCCTAAAGAAAATGTTGTTTTGCGGTGAACATCATAACTCGTTAACGGATCATCTAAAAAAAGTGATATGAATTTCTCGAGGTAATCAAGAACAGTTAAAAAAAAACATTTTTTTTCTCTATTTTTGGGAGCACTTAAAAGTGAAAAGTGCGATTTTAGCTCAAAAAATTGCTGTTATTTTATTTTTTTTAAATAAAAAAAAAAAATAAAAATAAAAATTGAACTCTTCTTGATTACCTACGTTTTTATGCGGAGAATTTGTGTTAAAAATTTGAAAAGGATCGGTTTAGTAGATTTCGAACTCTGATGTTCACCGACTTTCAAAATAATGTTTTCTGGAAAATCGATTTAAAATATTTTTATACGTCAAAATACGGAAAAATTCGGTCGTTTAAAACGCTGTAATTCTGTTGGTTTACTCTAATTGACTAAAAATTTTTACACAATATTCTCGACATATTGCTCTTTTAGAAAAAAAAAAAAAAAAAAAAAAATCGGAAAAAAAATTCTTAAAACCTTACCCCCTTAAAATATTTTATGTTTTTTCTGAGGGGTGCTTAAGAAGCTACCATATCTTATTTTAAATTTATTTTTGGTTTTTTGTCGGAAAGCGAGTATTTTTTTACTTTCGTATTCGATTATTGTTGAATAAGATTCCTTGTGTAGGTAAATAATAAATTTTGATTTACTTTCAGCACATACAGAAAATTAAGAGGTTCATATATTCAAAGTAAAAAAAGATAGAATTTTATGCAGTTATTTATTTGTGCAATTTTCTCATTTTAGTGTTAATTTTTCTTCATTATGTATACTAGATAAACTTACCTAATTGACAAAAAACCAGTCCCCTTAAAATAATATTATATACGTACATAACATACTTTAATTGTTGCTTTTTTAAATTACTTGCACTTATGTTATTTAAATGATTTTCTTTAACATGTTAACTTACATTCGATTAGCTTGATATGAAAGGCTTTGACTCAATGAAAATGCTTTACACTATGCAACATGAAGAACTTAAATGAGAAATCAATGAATCGTTGTTTTCAAAACTGGTAGGCAGTTCAGAAGTGGGCAACTCCAATTAACAGTTTATTTTAGAGAGCTTTATAATAATAGGAGCATATACGTACTCGGGGACAACACACAAAATAATATCACTAACGCTTTGGAAGTTTTTGTTGGGGGCGCAAGGCGTCGAGACCCTGCATTTCTAAGTATCCAGGGTGTAATAGGTGATGGTATGACTCCAGGCTCGTAAGTTTTTTCATTTCCGTAACGTACGGGTACATGAGTGTGCACTGAAATGCATACATAAAAAGATTTTAAATTATTTTAAAAAATAATTTTCAAAATAAAATAAAAATACAACTTTATCTACGTAACTTGACAGTTCTTTAAAATGCTATTGATATACAAATTTTACATTTAAACTGATGGAATCGCAATTATAGTGAGTTGTAGTAAATAAATGTTGTTGGCTTGTTGGATTGACAACCCAAAAAATAGTTTTGAGGAATGCAAAGATTAAAACAAGTTGCGAGGGATAAATAATCCGATTTTTTACATGTTGTAATTTTTAGTATTTTTAATTATATTTTTAATGGTATTTTAATTAAAAATATTGATACCTTTACAAAGGGAGATAGCTCAGACCCCATAAAGTATATATATTCTTGATCACCATCAGGATTTGAATCGAAGTCCGTCTGTCCGTCTGTGCGTCTGTCCTCCTGTTTGTTTCTATGTAAAGTAGTCTCTCAGTTTTAAGGCTATTGTTGCTGAAACTTTACCAACTATATAAGTAGGAACGGGCCGGATCGGGCGACCATATCGGATAGCTCAAATAGGAGAGCTACTTGATTTCTTCCAGATGACGTTTTCTAACAACAATTGAATTTCGAACTAAATTTTAGCGAAATCGAATAACTATATCATATAGCTGCCATAAGAAAGATCGAAAAATATATACAGTAGAATACTGTTATAACGACCCCGCTTATAGTGTCCGTCCGGGTTGTGCGACGAAAACTCGATGGTTTTGGTTGGTCCCCATACAAACATATATGAAAGGGCCTCCGGATATTGCGTCGTGCAGAAAAAAAAATACATTGCAATAGTGCCAAATTTAAGCATCAAAACACGCTGTTAGAAATGTATGTATTTATTAGTGATCGGCGCCTTTGCTTGTGTGCGTAGCAGCGACACGAAGGATCTAACACTGTCACTACGCTGCTGCGAGAGAGAGAGAGAGAGAGTCGAAGTGCAATGCCGACTTCACACTGCGTGTGCAGACCTCATAGCCTATTCCATGAGATGTCCCGTTATATTTCTAGTTTTTTTTCTGTTTTTTTCCGAGTAAAACTAAAAGCGTAAATTCGGCAAATGGAAAATGTGCAATAATAAGCTCATTCAGTTTTCAGTATTATAAGAAACCCATGTTTTTGAATTAAATTTATTAAATTTTTAGTTTTAATTAAAAAATTAATTTGATTTGTTTTAAAAACCTATTACGAGGACAGCAAACAAAAATAAACAAACAAAAAATTTTTTTGTTCCTTTTGCTTAGTGCGTCTTCCGGGTAAAACGACGAAAAATCGTCGGTCCCTTGAAAGTCGCTATAACCGGATTCTACTGTATATAAAAAATGAAAAAAAAATTATAACATCGTTGTTTTTAATCCCACGAGTATGAGTGATTTTAAATTAAAAAAATCATAAGAATCAAACAACTGCAACATATAGCTGCCATAGAATAAATAGAAAAATCTATATAGAATTAACGGAAATAAAATTATAATATCGTTTTTTCAAGAGATGAGCACGATTTTTGGAATATAAAGTTTTCTAATGACTTTAAATTTGGAATAAGATTTTATACAAATCGGACGACTATATCATAAAGCTGAACAATCGTCGAAAATATAGATAATGACATTGTTTGGCATATTTTATGACTGTAAGGGTATTGAAGCTTCGGCTTGCTAAAGCTGGCTTCCTTTCTTGTTTTATTATAAGTTCGGCCCATTCCATTTTCGAGAAAACACGCGTCTCTAGTGTGTAAAAGTGAAATACCTTAAAAAGGTAGGAAACATTTTTCGACGCCATTTTGATATTTTTTCCGCCAAAATGATTTATGTTTAAATAATTTGAAATAATCGTGTTTGAGAACGCGGGTTATAAAGGAAACCGCCAAGACTCCGTAATTTTTCCGAATTTGACTTCGATGAGGACTCGGAAAATTGTCTAGCGACGAAAAGATATACCCAGCGAAATTTGAACGAACGTGACCTTTCTGCAATTCGCAATGTTTTACACAAAAATCGCATAACACAGGAACTTTCAGACAAGCAAGACAAAACGCAGAATGGATCAAAATTAGTGAAGGACAGACGAAAGAAAACACTGATTTTACACTGAAATGGCGACATCGGGATTCGTGTCTAGGTTTCGCGACATAGAAGACCATCGGTTGAATCGTGGTGTAAGGAGTCGTAAAACTCCCCACAAATGCAGGTGCAGGGGAAACTCCACATAGCAACAGTGGGAGGAGCTGCATGGGGAAGACCGGGTACCAAAAAGGGAAATATTGGTACCGCTCTGGACCTTGGACTCCAGTCGGCAAGGGCATCGGGGTTGAACGGTGAATCCGCGGACTTTGGACCGACATAACGGTGGATCTGCGGTCTTCGGACCCGCGCAAGGAGGAGACACCGTGAATTAGCGGAACCTCGATGCACTTTGGACCCGATCACGTGAGCCGGATGGAGAGGAGTTAGAAAGGAACAGCCTCGGAGGACGGTCGCGTCTAAGACCCACGCCAGAACAGTCTAGTGAAACTCGTGCAAGAGATCGTACCAACGCGGGTGGAAACCCAGTGAATACCAAGTGCCAAATCATCCGGACGGTCTCGTCCACATAAGCTGAGACTGCCAAGCTGAGATCCAGAGGGTGCAAGGTAAGGTGTAGGGCGCGTCTTCTTGAAATCGACGAAGTTGGTGGAGTCTGAGCAATGGATGTTATGCGAGGGCCATGCCGACGAAGTCCCGACCGGGGTGGAGCGAAGAGTGGTGACTGCAGGCATCACTGCTTAGCCCAGCTAGGGAGGTTCTACTTAACATCCTCCAAGTTGTGAAAGACCAGTAGCGAGGCTATTACGAGACCGGTACCCGAAAGACTCCTTAAGGCAGAGGACGCGAGGTAGGCGTGCCGCCGCAGCACATCACCTCGAATCAATTCTATAACGAGAACCAATAAACCAAACTCCCTATTGCTAAATCTAACCTAATTCTGTGTACTTCTTGGTCGGGATAAATTATAATAATTGGCCATCACAACCCTTGACGGGGGACTGTTGCACATCTCGCCTCCACGCATCCCTGTCCTGGGTGCGCCTTTGCCAGTTGGCAGCACCGGATGTAGACAGGGCTTCCAACGCATCCGGGGTCGTCCTCTCCTCCGTTTCCCGACAATTACCGCATTAAACACCCTACGGGCCGAAGCGTCTTCTTCCATACGGAAGATGTGACCCAGCCAGCGGAGTCTGTGAATTTTAACTCGACTGTCTACATCAACATCCCCGTACAGCTCATACAGCTCGTGGTTCCATCTAATGCGATAAGCATCGCTAACGCAGATCGGACCAAAGATTTTGCAGAGAATCTTTCTCTTGAACACTCCAAGAGCGGCTGCATCGGATTGCACCACTGTCCAGCACTCCGCACCATATAAGAGTACTGAAAGAATGAGCGTTGTAACGATGCTTCTCAGGCTGGGATAGACCTCAGTCGTGCCAGAGATCCTTACAAGAAATTTGTAATTTACAGGGGAACTTGTTTATAAAAGGAATTGTTGAGCGCGGGATTTGGATCAATGATACTCCGGCTTTGGGCACACTGCGTAACCTCTAGCGGGCTCTGCGCCGTTAGCTAGCGGAGAAGGGAGCGGGAGGGGAGCTCCCACGTGCCTGTGAGACACCTGACTGTACCAAAGCTATGCTTGGTAGGTAAGAGTAGCGTGTCTGGGCCCAGGAATACTAGCTACGGGCACGGGAACGGGATGTGAATCCAACAGGGGCACCCCGAACAGGGTGTGACGCCTCATTCAACGAGGCGCACATATTTCCTTTTCTTTTGTTTATCTTTTTATATCCCTATTGTTATTTCATTAGTCATATAAGAGAAGCGCCTTGAATTATTTGTTATTGTAGTTTTAAGCACAGCTGTTAAGCCATTACATACGACAACGTTGCCATTTATTTCGCGCCCTGACCAACGTTGCCATTTTTGGCACTATCGATCAACGCACTGACAGTTGACACGTTGCCAGATCGCAAGACCTTGCCAGATCGCGACGCTGTCAAAATCGCCACGTTGATAGCCTGGTCAGAGGATCGAGATGGTAACTCGATCTCTTCCTTTCCGGTCAGCCGTAGCGAGCAGACGTGCGCTCCGCGACTTGACCTCTTCCCTTCCGGACAGCCGTTGCGAGCAGACGTGCGCTCCGCAGCTCGGCTTCTGTTCTGCCCCGGTCCGCCGCAGAGGGCAAACATACGCAAACAGGTAAACCAAATCACGTGTCTCGAGAATCAACGCGCGTCGCACAGTACAGCCACCGCGGCTTAATCAAACAGCCATTACACGCGTAATACAGCCACCGCGGCTTAATCAAACATACCTTATACACACGATACAGCCACCGCGGCTTAGCAAACAGACATCGGTGCAGCAGCAGGGAAACAAGGCAGGACAAGTATCAAATAAAGTGGAGTTATATATTGTGATCATTTAATTCCAGTGCATACTTGATTTCGTAGACTTCATAGCAACTAACCCTAACCCTAACCTCTCCGATCCCTACCAGTAGCTAGTGATCCCTCAGGCGTGGCTACGACAATTCCTGGTCAACACAGAGAACGTCGGCGTGCCCCTGTTGGATTTACATCCCAATCCTTACCAGTAGTTAGCGATCCCTCAGGCGTGGCTACGACCATTCCTGGTTAACCCAGAGAACATCGGCGTGCCCCTGTTGGATTCATATCCCAATCCCTACCAGTAGTTAGCGATCCCTCAGGCGTGGCTACGACCATTCCTGGTTAACCCAGAGAACATCGGCGTGCCCCTGTTGGATTCACATTCCGTTCCCGTGCCCGTAGCTAGTATTCCTGGGCCCAGACACGCTCACGCGTTCCTACTCTTACCTACCAAGCATAGCTTCGGTACAGTCAGGTGTCTCAGAGGCACGTGGGAGCTCCCCTCCCGCTCCCTTCTCCGCTAGCTAACGGCGCAGAGCCCGCTAGAGGT